TCGTTACAGAGAACGGTTTGGCCGCGTTTGTAAAAGACCGCGGCAGGCGAAGAGAGAGGTGAGGGCGGTCATCAGCGTGGGGCCCTGGGACCGCGGGGGGGCGCAGAGCAGGTAAGAGGGCTGTGTTGACAGAAGGCGGGGGCGGCGGGGGACAAGGGTGTAGAGCCTGGAATCCCAATGGAAAGCTTGTCCATGTAGCAGGCTGCCAGCCAGGTGATGCTTCTGATTAGGCCTGCTTAGGACCGGAAGTGAGCCGTCGCGCGGGGAGGACGCCGGGAAACAGGTCCCGGGTGGTGCGTCTGGGGGCGGGCCGAGTCCCGGAAGCCAGGCGCTAGGTTCGCGTTCCGCAGTCCCGTTCTCATACGCATCTCCCCATTGTCCCGGCGGCCTTTCTGCGGTTTTCCAGGCCGTGCAGGGTAATGAGACCCCTGGACCAGGAGTCGAGAGTTCTGGCTTCTCGGCTTCCCCCTTCGTCTCACTTGTGGTTTGACAAAGAACCCAGCAGGTTCCAAACTTAAGGTAGATTATCTGGTAGCTGGCTATGAGACATTCGTCATATCATTACTTTCTCTGAGCAAATTTCCTCATTTCTAAAAATGAGTAAAATAGTACTTCTGTTACAGGATCACGGTGAACAGTGCTTGAGTAAATACATGGGAAGGGCTTACTTGTACTCAGTAAACGTGTTAGCAAGTTTTGTTTTATTCATAATGATCATTCGATTTCTTCACTGACTGCTTCACGGGCATTAAACAGCATCCACCAAACTGTATAGCTCTACAGCCAAATAGTACCTGGGTGAAAACCCACCACTTCCAGGGAGCATTCATGTGTTAGCCCCTCCAGCACCAGTCCATTTACACCATCGTTCCGAGGACACCCTTTTACAGGCAGGATTCAAAAACAGGTTCTTTACAAGTTGTGTTACTTGTTTTGTTGCGGTTTCTGTGAATTGGGTAGGAGAGAATGAACACAGAAGACACACAGACACAGACAGGGTCATGTTTGTATATGCTTTCAGTATAGACTCTAATAAGTGATACTAGTACATGTTTAAAATCCAAATATTTGAAAACCGTGAAATGTAATTCTTCTTCCTACTTTCTATTTCCTAAGTCTCAAGTCAGTTCTGAAGCAATAGATATTCTGTATGTGTGTATCACCCCATCTTTTTAAAATCAAGAGTAACATACACGAAGTACTACACCTTTTTTCACTGCACAGTCTGTCTTAATACTTGTTCCTTATCAATACATATAGATCTGTCTGATTCTTTTTAGTGGTTTTATACTGGTATATTGTACGATTACACCATAATGTAGTCAGCTCTTAGACTGTTTCTATTCTTGTGCAGTTATGGGTAACCCGTCATGGAGTACCCCCATACATACTTTGTGTACACGTGGGAATGTAACTCATGAAAAGTGGAATTGCTAAGTCAAAGTATGTGGTTTACATTTATTTTATTTACATCCGTTAGCATGAGATGTTTTTCCATTTTTTAGGTCTTTAATTTCTTTCAGTGATGTTTTGCAGTTTTCAGTGTACATCTTTCACTGCTTTTGTTGCTCAGTTTGTTTTTGTCTTTGGACTTAGTTTATGATATTTTTTTTCATGTAGAAAATTTTTCTGTGTAATCAGATATCAGTTTTAATTTTAAAATGGGCAAAATATTTAAATAACTATTTCCCCAAAGAGATAGATACATGGCAAAATAAACGTGAGAAATGTTGCTCAATATCATTATTAATTGGAGAAATACAAGTTAAAACCACAATTAGATACCACTTCACACTCACAAATTAAATGGCTGTAATCAAGAAGACAATATTGTGTTGGCCCTAAAGTAAAGAAACAGGAACTCTCTTATGTTGATGGTGTGAATGTAAAATTGTACAGCCATTTTCACAGCTTCTTAAGTAGTTAAACAGAAACTTACCATACGACCCAGTTATTCCACTTGTAGGTGTCTGCTCAAGAGAAATGAAGACATTTGTCTACACAAAGAGTTGTATGTTAATGTTCTCAACATCAGTGTTCATACTAGCCAAAAATTGGAAACAATCCAAATATCTGCTGGTGAATGGATAAACAAAATGATATATCCATATAATGGAATACCATTCAGCAATCTAAAGGAAGGAAGTACAGATACATACTACAATGTGATTGAACCTTGAAAACATTATGTTGAGTGAAAGAAGCCAGACACAGAACGCCACATATTGTATGATTCAATCTAAATGAATGTCCTGAAAAAGTAAATCTATAAAGACAGAAAGCAGATTAGTAATTGCCTGGGGATAGGAATAGTGATTGACTGAAAACAGCAAGAGGGATCTTTTGTGGATGATGGAAGTATTCTAAAATTGGATTATAGTGATAGATGTCCAACTCTATACATTTAGTAAATATTGAATTGTACACTTAAAATGGGTGAATTTTATGGTATGTAAAATACACTTCGATAAATAAGTGTTTTTAGAAAACACTGGTACAGTCAGGAAAAAATTTAATCTGTATTTTGTGTTTTCTGGATTTTGTGTCATTTAGGCCATCATTCTGATATCTTTAAAATATACTTTTAAAATTCTCCCCCTTTTTTTATTCTACTATCTTAACAATTCCACTTTTGTGCTTATCTGCCTGGAATTTATTTGAGTATAGAAAGTGAGATAGGGGGAATAAGATATTTTTAATGATAATGTTTGCTCTTAACTTTCCTTTTATATAATTTTTGAAATTTAGTAAATTAGTTATTGGTCAAAATTATGTGGATCCCCTCACTTTGTTCACGTTTAAAATCACTGATGTGGTTTTCAGATATTTTTAGAAGTAGAACCTTTTTCTTCCAATAAAATCTTATTCTGTACCCTAATAAATTTTTAAGGAAACTAGAAAGAATGTTCAGAATCTATTCTGAAATATGTGCATCTATGAACTAAGATAAATGTTTAGGATGTTCATTGCAGTATTGTCTAGAACTAAAAACCCAGGGTAGAGCTAGTTAAACAATGGTATATTCACACTCCAGATTACTGTATGGCCATTAAAATGGTGTTTAGAGCCTTTCGTGCTGACATGGAAAGAAAGCTATGATAAAATGTTAAGAAAAACTTCAGAGCAATGTATATAATGCAATTCCATTTTTCTAAAAACAAATAACCTACATTTATATATACATTTATTTATAATGTAAAGAAAATAATCTGGTGGATATATGCCAGCCTACTAACTGTAGTTACTCTTTAGTAGTAGGGGTTTTGGAGGGGGATGTGGGAATAGTGGCAGTGCTAGGAAAAGGGCATAAAGGGGTCTTATATTATAATTTTGTAAGATGACTATTTTAATCTCTAAATTTTTTAATTTACATTTTTTAAAAGATTACATATTTACACGATTTAAAATGTGAAAATTAATAAACAGAAACCTCTTTTAAAATGAAGTCAGGAAGCTAGAAGGGAGAACTCTCCTACAGGTGTCATTCAACACACTACTGAACCCAACAGGAAGATACTACCTTGCATATCTCAGAAGAAATGATATTACTTTACTACTTCAATAGGAGGGAAAAAGATTCCTCTTAGCCCAGTAACAGCCAAAGGGAGACTGCCATAACTCAGCCAATGAAAAGTCACTGTACTTTGAACTTTCAGTTTCCTCCAATGGACTCTTTTTTTTTTTTTACAAATAGTGGCTCCTAGGTTTATAAAAGCGTTCCCCTCCTTTATTTCTCTGAACTCGCATGTGGTTCGCCATTAGATTACATGCCCCAAATTGCAATTCTTTGTTGTTCCCAAATGAACCCATTTTGCTGGAGAAATATCTGGCTATTTGTTTAAGGTCAACAAAAATAAACTATAAAGGTATGCAGTAAAAAGTTTCCCTCCCACACTTGTCCCATATTCACCAATAAAGTAACTATTATTAGTTTATCCTTTTAGAGAGTTTTAAACATTTGTATTTCATTTACAAGCTAATACAAATTTGTTTCCTCCAGCCTCTTATACACAATTGACAGTATATTATAAATGGTGTTTTGCATCTTCTTTTTCTACTTAACATTTCTTAAAAGTCCGAAAGATCAACACATAAAACACTTTCTCAGTCTTTTTTTAAACAGCCGTGAAAGTATTTTATTTTTTGAAAAAGTATTCCGTTATATGGATATACCATAATTAATTTAACCAGTTCCTTTTTGATGGACATTACATTATTTCTAATATTTTCCTGTTACAGAAATGTGGTAGTATATCTGTAAGATAAATTCTTATTAGTGGAATTACTGGGTCAAAAGGAATATGCAGAGCAAGTATAAGCCCAAATTGAAGAGTATTTGATAAAATATCTGACTCTTCAATTGCCAAGATTATGGAAAACAAGAAAAGACAAATTCATAGATCCGAGAAAACTAAGGAGAAATGACAACTAAGTGCAATGTGGTGTCTTGAATTGGATCTTGGAACAGTGAAAAGAACAAAGTCTAGAGTTTAGTTAATAATAATGTACTAATGTTGGCTTCTTAGTTTTGACAAACGTCCCATGGTAGTACATGATGTATTCTATATTTTCTGAAAATGTGGTATTATTCTAAAATAAAAAGTTTATTCTTAGAAAAAGGACATTAGTGGAAAAACTGCTGAACTCCAAATAAAGTCTGTAGCACAGTTAACAGTATTGTACCAATGTTAAAACGTTAGTTTTGACAAATTTCCCGCAGTTATTAAGATGTTAACATTTGGAGAAGCTGGGTGAAGAGGATACAGGAACTCTGTGTACTATCTTTGTACCTTTTCTATAAATCTAAAATATTCCAAAATTAAAAATTTTTTAAAAATAAATGTGCATTTGCAATTTTGAAAGATACTAACAAATTGCCCTCTACAGAGCGTAACTGAAAAAATAAAAGAAAAAAATTAAAAAAAAGTGGAATTCCTGTGAATGCTAAAAACTACAGCACCTTAAGGCTTCACCATTTAATTGGCAAACCAGTTTCTCCCATAATGAGCAAAGTTGTTCTTTTTTCCACTTTAATGATATGGTAAATCATCATTATCGATGTAATTTTTAGCTAAGCTCTTTCACATATATATAATTTTTTTTCTATTTTGCAAATGAAAAACAACCTGAAGCTCAAAAGTTAAAAGTCTTATTTACAGAGATAATTGGTGGTAAAGGGCAAACTAAATCCTCCATCTTTTGACTTTGGAATAACATTCCCTCCGAAGAACTCATGTTTGGCCGAATGAGAATACCTAATAATTCTTACTATCTAGAGACATTTTTGGTTTTTTTTTTTTTTACAACTTGTGAAGAAGGCAAGTGGGGACTGCTCCTGGCATTTAGACCAAGGATACTACTGAATATCCTGCAATGCATAGGATACCCTTCTACAACCAAGAATTACCCAGCCCTAAATGTCAGTAGTGCTAAGGTGGAGAAACTCTGCTATATAGATCATATTTCACAAAGCTTTATGCACTGTGATACTCAGTAAATATTCAGTTGGAGGATTAGTTCATTCTTAGACTTTTGTACTTTTCAGTTTGTTAATCAGTGGACTATAAAATATGAGGAGGGAAAATATTGGGGTCAAGGGGGAAAATCAATGCTAACAGCCTATTTCAGAATCACAAGCAGATTACCTTTTTAAAAAAGTATTAAAAAATACTGAACTTTAGTTAATATGCATGCCGAACTGATGTCTACAACTTACTTTTAAATACATCGAAGTATAAGCAGGATTGATGGAGAAGGATGGATAGATACAGTGAAATGCTACTTATAGAATCTAGTGGGTGAGTATATGGAGATGCAGTGTATAAGTGTTACTTTTTTATATGTTTGAAATTTTTCATAATATTGGTAAATTAAAAGCAGGGTTCGTTCACACTCTTAGCAGGCATTGGGTTAGTGGAAACCGCATTGCTAATTTTGCTGGGTGACCTCAGGCAAGGTACTTTTTTTTTTGCAAGTTGCTTTTTAATTTTCATCTGAAGAATGGTTTCGTTTGGCTCAAATAAGATACTAATATTGTGAAGTTCAAATGAAATAATGTGAAAGCACTTGGAATAGCATAATGTGCTCTAAAACTAATATATTACTATTAGGAGAATGAGTGTTTGACCAATTATATACTATAGCTCTAGGTGTTCTTGACAACTCCCTGTGTAATGACATTAGCACTATTTTACCTTCTTGCAATTGTAAGTACAAAACAACCATTTCCATGCCAATTTCTGTCAAATATTTCTCAAATATTTATGAAAGACTTAGATTCCTCTTCTGAGGAAAGAATCATTATGTCTTTGTATAACTTTAATATTTTTTCTTGTTTTACTTGTAGACTGCCAAAATCTCCACTTAGGGCAGTTGGAATCTTCTTTGATTGTGAAACATTGGGCAGGAGCTTTGCCATTGGCTGGCCAAGGAGGGCATAGAATGTCTACATTGTTACACCATGGAGTTCAAACTTCAGAAGGCTTTGGATTAAGCAGTAACATTTACTCTGTAAATGATTATGTCTTCACCTGTCCTCTGTGATCATCACAAACTAATGAAACACCTTTTAGGCCTTATGAATTTAGGTCACACTGTTTTCTGGATGCTCTGGCAGCTCTTACAGGTAGGATTGGGCTGGGTTTTGTGAAGAATGATGGAAGGGAAAGAAGTAACCATTCACATTGTCCAGTCCTTGCTCAAGTTAAACATTGTGCATATAGAGATTAGGTTAATTAATCTAGGTTGTTGTATAGGACAGGATTGAACCTAAAGAAATGCTTTAGTTGTTATGTTAGGATATTTCAAAATATAAGAGAGATGAAAGGCAATGTTTTACTTTCATTTTGCTTGAGGATTTAAATTGATGTTCTGTTTTTTAAGGACACAATTTGAAAATAGTGGATAGCTTCTTTACGTTTCACTTTCTGTACTAAATCATAAGTGATTTTAACTTTGTGTGTATATGATGTATACTCATGCTGATGGCCTTATTGCCTTTTCTAGGGGCCTGTGAAAAATGGAACCAAACTCTCTGAGGACTAAAGTCCCAGCTTTCTTATCTGATTTGGGGAAGGCTACATTGAGGGGAATCAGAAAGTGTCCTCGATGCGGCACATACAATGGAACCCGGGGACTGAGCTGTAAAAACAAGACATGTGGAACCATATTCCGCTATGGTGCACGGAAGCAGCCTAGTGTTGAAGCTGTCAAAATCATAACAGGCTCTGATCTGCAGGTCTACTCAGTGCGGCAAAGAGACCGGGGCCCTGATTACCGATGCTTTGTGGAGCTAGGTGTTTCAGAGACGACAATCCAGACAGTGGATGGGACGATCATCACTCAGCTGAGCTCTGGACGGTGTTATGTTCCCTCATGCCTGAAAGCTGCCACCCAGGGCGTTGTGGAAAACCAGTGCCAGCACATCAAGCTGGCAGTGAACTGCCAGGCAGAGGCCACTCCTCTGACTCTAAAGAGCTCAGTCCTGAATGCAATGCAGGCCTCCCCAGAAACCAAGCAAACTATCTGGCAGTTGGCCACAGAACCCACAGGTCCCCTTGTACAGAGAATTACTAAAAACATTTTGGTGGTGAAATGCAAGGCAAGCCAGAAACATAGTTTGGGGTATTTGCATACATCCTTTGTGCAGAAAATCAGTGCCAAAAGCTTGCCCGAGCGCCGTTTCTTCTGCTCCTGCCAGACTCTGAAATCGCACAAGTCGAATGCCTCCAAGGATGAGGCAGCCCAGAGATGCATTCATTTCTTTGCTTGCATCTGTGCCTTTGCCAGTGACGAGACATTGGCTCAGGAATTCTCAGACTTCCTAAATTTTGATTCCAGCGGTAGGTGGTATGGTTGACACAGTGTTTTTCTAAAATGGCAATGAAAGAGTTCCACTGATGGCATTTGGAGATTGTCCTAGCAACCTTCAGAAGCAGTTGCTAGATAATTCAAATGAAAAGCATTCCTTCTTTTAATCCCAGTCAGCACTTGCATAAAGGTTGGTTGGTTGGTTGATTGGTTGGTTGGTTGGTTGGTTGAAATTAATGATCAAAAGAATCAGACATTTTTATTGAGACAGTGAATCTAGCAAAGTTAGCTTTGCTTTTAATTTTTTTTTACTCTTCCACAGATACCCTATATTAATAAAAAAAACAACAAAAAAATCCCTTTTATTTGGCTTTGCTTGTTTCTCAAAAAGTTGGGAAAAACAAGGATCTTGCTCAAAAAAAGACCTTTAGAAGTGTTGTTAATATTTTTATCTTGCAGATGCTTTTTATTTTCACTTCTTAATGATCTTTAGTTGGCAGTAGCTCTCAACTTTTTAGTTTTACATTTCTCTGTAGAGCCTCCTATCACATTAATGTTCTTTTAAGGAAGTTTTTTTTTTTTTTAATGTAGGTCCATAGTCTCTTTTTTAACTAAATTTATTTTAGGTGACATTGGTTAATAACATTAATAAATTTCAGGTGTACAATTCCATAATATATCATCTGTATATTGAATTGTATGTTCACCACTCATAGTCTGGTCTCCCTCCGTCACCATATATTTGACCCACTTTACCCTTTTTATCCTCCCCAAACCCCCTTTCCCCTCTGGTGACCTTCAAACTATTGTCTGTGTCTATGAGTTTGTAGGTTTGTTTTATTAGTTCATTTGTTGCTTTCTGTTTTATATCCCACATAAGAGTGAATTCATATTGTTCTTGTCCTTTTCTGTCTGAATTATTTTGCTTAGCATGGCACTCTCAAGATCCATCCATGGAGTCACAAATGTCAATATTTCAATCTTTCTAATGACTGAGTAGTATTCCATTGTATATATGTACTATATCTTCTTTATGCAGTCATTCATTGAAGGGACACATAGGTTGTTTCCATATTTTGGCTACCGTGGTTAACACTGCAATGAACATAGGGGTACGTATATCTTTACAAATAAATGTTTTCAAATTTTTTGGGTAAGTACCCAGAAGAGGGATTGCTGGTCATAAAGTAGCTCTATTCTTATTTTTTTTGAGGAACCTACATAGTATTTTCCATAGTGGCTGTACCAATTCACGTTCCCACCAGCAGTGTATAAGGGTTTCTTTTTCTCCAGTTTCCTCTCCAACACTTGTTATTTCTTGTCTTATTGATAATAGACATTCTAACAGATGTGAGGTGGTATCTCATTGTGGTTTTGATTTGCATTTCAAAGGAACTTATTTTAATGCCAGCAATCACTTCATTGTTTGGTGATTTGGGTTTTTATAAAATAATTTTTTTCTTGGTAGGGGCTCATACTTCTTCTTAGAGTTAATAATTCAGAAATCGGTTCTGTTTTAGGTCTTAAAGAGATTATTGTGCCCCAGTTGGGCTGCCATTCAGAATCAACTGTATCAGCTTGTGAGTCTCCTGCCTCTAAGGCAAAGAAGAGGAGAAAGGATGAAGTATCTGGTGAGAAGTTGTTTGGTTTGTTTGATGGTATTATCTTTAGAGATTGTTTTATATGTTTCACTGAATCTCAGCAATTACAAGAAATAGTTTTTATGTTTTTTTTTTTCCTGAAAGTTTTACCTTCCATTAACGATTGTCCAGTCAAGCTCAAAATTAGTTTTACTGGCCAAATATAAGATCCAGCCAGATTCCACTCTTATTACTGAATATGTTTGTTCAGCCCTTAAACATTTAGCCTAGTCTTATACTTGAACCTGCCTTAGGACAGTGTTATGAGGTTTTTATCCCTGGAGTGTTTTTAAAAACTTGACAATGGTTAATTATATTTTTCACACTATTTTAGGAATATAGTTTGTTACTTGCATTTTCAACATGTGGCATCATATAGATAGTTTCTTTTCTCAGATAATACCAGTGTCAATTAAGGACTCATATACATCATATGAAAATTCTGCAGAACCCTAGTAGTGTCAAAAGATCTAGACTCTATATGACAAAAAGAAAATATTACCTGGACCACAAATGTGAACCAAACTCCAAACTCACTAGTGAACAGAGAAATGCATACATTTTACAAATACAAAATTAGAATAAAATACTTTTTACTACCAAATTAAAAAGTAATGAGACTCAAAGGTGAAATTTGGGCTCTCTGGAATGGCAAGTGTAGTGTAAATTGCCATAGTCATTTGTAAAAGTAGTTTGCAATATCCGCTAAGAACCTTAAAAATGTACCTACCCATAGGGAATGTTGCTTGAGGTGGGTCAGATGGTCATGCACAGGAGTTTTGGTGCTGGGAAGTTGGGAAAAGATGGAGACCAAAGTGGCATGATTATTTTTGTGTTTTTAAGAGGTAATTATGGCAGCAGTATAGAGCAGAGATTGTTGTTAAATGTTTACTTGTTGGTCTTTCCTGGGAAAATTTGCAGTTCAAAAAATAAAGTTCCTTGGACACAGTAGTCTACTTGTAAATAATGTTTTTTAAGGAAATTATCTTTGGTACAGGAAAAGCATTTTGTCCAGAGATGCTCATTTTATGGTTATTTATAATACTGAAAACTTAGAAACAACTAAGGGCCAGCCACTGCGGATAGTTAAATGAACCATGATAAAGCCACTTGATAGAATATAAGGCAACTATTAAAAATTATCATAAAGAATTTGGAGAAATATTTAGATTACTCAGTAGCCAGATGAAGTACATACTGTTCAAACTTGACTTCTAGATAAATAATGAATAATTTTTGAGTATAAGTATCTCCCATGCAACATTTGGAACATATATATGCTAAAAACTTACTCATTTATTTTAAATTTTTAAAAATTTCATTAAATCTGGCAACCCTGATAAAATCACAGCTACTTAAAAATCACAAAATCAGCAAAGCAATCTGTTCATAGAAAAAATGGAAGATAGTTCACGAGAAAATTAACGATTGTCTGAGAGGTGGGAGCAATGGGTGAATTTTTTTCTTCCTTTCACTTCTGGTTCCCTCCCAATTTTCTGTTAAGCTTCAGAAACTTGAATGTTATATATAAAGGCTAATGCTAATTCTAGATACTGAAGCTAACTTAGAAATTACCAAAGTCTTTTTATGTTTTAGACTCTTCAGAAATTAATATCGAATTGACTTATATTCTACAGACATGTTATTAAACACTATAATGATTTGTGGTTTAGGTGCACAGACGAACAGTTCACTGTTGCCTCAAGATGCAGTGAGCAGTAATCTAAGAAAAAGTGGCCTGAAAAAGCCTGTGGTTGCTTCTTCATTAAAAAGGCAGGGTAAGTTTCCCTGCCCCAGAATAGGCTAAAGAGGTGGAAAATCATCCTGAAGAAGCTAAAAGTGATAAATCCAAAGAAACATTGCATGTTGTCTCCTAAGGAGTGCTAAGATGAACACTAGCAGGCACCGAGGCTGAGGTCTGTCCTGTCCCACTGGTCTCAAATCATGCTCAAAACCAAATTATGCTTTTAAATAACAAATACAACAAAAGTTACCAACATGTTTTGGCAGCAGGTATTTTGCAGGTTTTTTTTCCTCTTGGGTATTACCCACATGCAGTTGGTATGGAGATTTAAAGTTGAAGAAGAAACACGTTTTGTAATTATTCAGTGATAAATGTTTGTTGAGAAAGACCGATATAATCTGTTCTCCAAAGTTAGTAGAGTTTGAAAACATACCTAAAAGCAATAGCATAGCTATTGTTCTGAATTTATGAGACAGGATAACTTAATTTGAACACAACATATATTTATATATATATATATATATATATATCTCTCACTTTCCTACTGAGTATAAATAAAAACTGTAGAAAATATAAAAGGCAACTCTCCTCATACATTGTATAAAAATCATTTAGTCAGACTCTTCACTGTATACCATCTACTTTTTGACTTTTGCTCCATGTTCACATGTTTACCTATTTAAAGAGATTTGTTTTAATTTAATGATTATATGCTATGTGTATTTTGTCATAAAAATCTTGAATGCCCTCCCCCATAAATTTGTTTAGTTCAATTTTGGTAGTATTTATTGAATACCTATGGTATGGTTAGCTATGTAATATGGATGGGTTCCTGTCCTCATACTCTGATTTTGAAGAGCAATACATAAATATAAAATAATTAAGACCAAATCTTAATTAACTAATGAAGAACTTATATATTCTGAATTTATGAGACATAATAAATGTTTTTGGAAGGTCAGGTAGTAAACAGGTCGGTTGTATCAGGTAGAAAATTTAAAAACTATTATTACTTCCTTTGGCACAAAGAAGAAAGAAAAATAGCTTTTAATTTAAATGATCACTATATACATTGATCTATGAGAATTTCAATTTCAAATGGATAGTAGTTAAGGCATTGTATCTCAACAAAAGGGAATATACTTCAGATGTGTGAAGACATTTCAGGAGAAGTAAAATAGAATGGTAAGTCTATTCATACAGACATGTTAATCAGAAATAAGACCAATTAATCTCTAAAACAGCCATTCTTCAAATTGCAGTTTAGTGTTGAAAGACTGCAAACTTTTTGTAGTTACTACTATTATTGGACCTGTTAATATCACAGAGCTTTTCATTTCTTTTTTCCTAAATGGATTCTTAAAAAAAAAAAAAATCCTAGACTCTTCCATTTTACTTAATTTGTCTGAATTTCAGCTTCTTTGTTTTTTTTTAATCTCCGCAAACTCCTTAGCTTTTTCAAACTTCAATTAACTCTTTATACTGTAAGAAAAGATAAAAGTTACTAAAGAGTTGTTTTTTTGTTTTTCTTAGCTTGTGGTCAGCTGTTAGATGAGGCACAAGTGACCTTATCCTTCCAAGACTGGCTGGCTAGTGTCACAGAACGCATCCACCAGACCATGCACTATCAGTTTGATGGTAAGTATTGGTCACCTAACTGGGCTATTGCTGAAAGTAGGAGAAATTAAAGTAATTGTACTGTTTTGATAAGAAAAGTAACTGGGCTTGACTACGGCGTGCACTGGGCTACAAAAAAAGTACACATCTAAGTGAAAGAAAGGAATAGTCACATAATTTAAATACAAGATAAGCAAAATGAATTGAGAGATGGAAGAGGAAAAACACAGCAGATAACATGTAAAAATAGATAGCTTGATCTTGGCATGTGCGTGTGTGCATGCGTGTATGTGTGCCTGCATGCTACCAAATCCTCAGGAGATCATTCTAATTCTCAAACTTAAAATTGAAGAAAGGGGGTAGAAAGTTTAGACAAAATCTAACCATATGAGACTAAAATAGTTATATAATATCACACAGACATGCTAAGGAAAATTGGAGAACACAGGCTAGATTTGAGTGTCATTGTGATAGCCTCATGGAACCTCAGCAATTTCAGAGGTGGACCATCCAGCTAGTCCTTGCCCATTGCCTTGAAAGCATCCTCGATGGATGGTTTTCCAGGCTTTTTCCAGTGATGAGGAGGTCACTGCCTTTTGATGTAGATCATAACATTGTTGAACAGTGATAGCTGTGAGGACGGTCCACTCATGTTAAGTGGACATGTTTGCTTATAATATTTCTGTTGGTTCTAGTTCTGCACTGTAGCCACACGGAATAGGTCTGCTCTTGTTTCCAAAATTACAGTCCCTACCACTGCACACACACCCGTTGCCCTGCCTGATAGGTCTCCCCTTTTCCAAGCAGTACATCTCAGGTCTTCAAACATTCCTCATGGCATATTTACAGACCTCATATCATTTTGATGTTCTTTGCTGAATATGTTGCAATTTGTGAATATCATTTTTTAAAATAATGTACCTTAAACTGAGTAGTAGCCTGATGGCAGACACTCAGTAAAAGAAGATAAGTTTTGAAGGATTAGAACAGTTATGACTTCAAGATGAGGAAACAGATAAGAAAGGAGGTCTTGAGATATATGCTTAGTTTTATTTATATTAATTCAGAATAAATAAAACTTCAGAACTTTTTAGAAAAGTAAACTAAGGAGAGTTAAAGAGAGAATCTGTGTTTTTCTTTAAAAGAGTTATTGTTTGAAATAATATAGTGAATACCTACTAACTCACCTCACAAAACAGAAAACAGAACATTGATAATAATGTAAGCTATACACTGTGGCCCTTCACCATCTCCATTACTTCACCTTTGTCCAAGTCACTGTCAGCTCTCTCCTGGACTGTGAGTCAGTCTCTTTTATGAGGGCTTTCCAAGATTAATTTGTAAACCTTAGCTCTAGCTTAGCTGAGTTCTGGTGAGTTAGCATTGCTTTTAGAGCTGTAATGATCTGTGTATGTAGCCCATAATCTAATTTTAAGATGAAAGATTTTAAAATTCCTTTGTATGGTGACTTCTCTAAACTGTCCAGATATTAATATTTTAGTGCCTCAGAAAGCAGTGACAACTTTGTCATTGCCATTCTGCACACAGTAAAGTAGGCAAAATCAATTGAAAGAATGTAAAGTCTCTATATAATTCTAGAAAACCTTTCATTTTAATTTTTCTTGGCTCTACCTTTGTTTCAAAAAGGCATGTGAGCTATCTTTAAGAGTCTTTCTTTAAGAGACTTTAAGTTGTATGTTTATCCACATGGTTGTGGATGTTTTCCCTTTGCTGGAGCTAAGTTGCCCCTTGGGCATAGAATTTTTTTAAGGAAAACTCAGAACTCTTTCTGTTGACTTTTTGTTGACCTAGTGTCTTGTAAGTTTCTTTAAGAGGTCGTTAAGTATTTTCAAACGTTTTACCGGCTTTGAGATAATATTTGGAGAGAAAGGCTGATATTTATTAGCTAAATAGTGTCCTAATGTTGCAGTCTCTGGCATTCATGGTCCTGACAGTCTGAGAGAGAGCATGCAGTTCCTTGCTTAGACACAAATGCATATAGCAGGCCCCTGAGGATAGTAAGCAGGAGTGAATCAAGTTTGCCTTCTCAACTCAGACTTATTGTTCTCATCTCATTTCATATATCCTTTCAAGGGAGAGGTCTGTGAGGTGGTGGTGTTTATAAAATTGGGGATTTGAAAAGTTATCCTTGGTGGATGACAAGGATCTGCTATATTTTTTATGACTTCAAGGAATCAGGGGTAGGGACTGATGACAGTGCTTGATGCATAAAGGTCAAAGCTTTCTTTTTGCCTCTGAAGAAATCTCAGTGGTATTTTTAGTAATTACTGTCCCTCAATTCCATTTCTTCCACCTTTCCCTACACATCAGAAAGTCTATTGAGTTTCTTTAAATGAGTTTCTTCTTATTTCCTAAAGGCAAACCAGAGCCACTGGTGTTCCATATTCCTCAGTCCTTTTTTGATGCCTTGCAACAGAGAATATCTATAGGAAGTACAAAAAAACGGCTTCCCAACTCCACCACAGGTATGAGAATTTTTTCATAAGGAATAGCAATATATGTCTTGACTTTAGAGAATTACATTTGGGAAAATGGTGTGGCATTTTCAGGATTAGGACTTCTTGTCACATGCTGAGAGCATGAAGTTAACCAATCAGGTCTTAGAATAATGGCCATACTCTCTAAAGGCCCCATACTTATTTTAGTGCAAGTTAATGGAACAATTCAGAAAGCACAGATTTGGTAAGCAAGTGCAATGAAGATGCTCACCATATTTTCTAGATATGAACCAATTTCAATAAAAGCTTTGCAGTTCTAATTGTTGTTTGGGCTGGCTTCTTGGAAGCATATTACAGTATATATCCAAAACTAAAACTTATTTTTCATAAAATTCTAAATTTTTGATGAAGATTTTATTTTTAGAGTAATTCTTAGGCTTGGAACACTTTATCATAACATTCTGGTACTTATTTCTTGGTTTTATATAACATCTTAGATAAACATCTTTATATAACATATTTCTACTAGAGATCTCAAGATACTTACTAGGCATTATAAGGAAATAAGAGAGAGAAAGGGAGGAAGAAAGGATTGCTCTTTGGCAGATGGCCCAACAGGAACTACAGCTAGAAATCAGTGCTACTTCTTCAGTAAGTTGTTGTTTGATGATATAATAGGAACTGTGGCACTGTTTGAGGTTTAATTCCACTTTTGAATAGTACAAGCTGTGAATCACTGTGTTTAGGTCCATGAAAATCTTTGTCCTCACAGCTTATCTGTATGACTTTTGAGGCAATGCTGATTCTTTCTTCTAGTTTAAACTTTAAGCCTAATACATTAATTTTAACCCATCCCTTAGCTAGTTTTGCAGAGTTTTGATATAATCCATTTATAATCCTGCAGGCAGGACAATGGATTGGCAACCATGTTAGCAGGCTTAAGCTCTGTGTAATTATTTTAAGGACTATGATTTGACCTCTGATATATCTAAAGTTGTGAGAGGTTGTGAGAAGCTATTTTATAATGGAGTCCTGTGTGTACAGCTTTACCAAACAAATAAGTTTCTAAGATACTAAAAATAAGTAGCATCTCAAGCATCAGAGACTTTATTTAGCAGAAATTCTTAACACTTGATTTGTCACATTTCTGCCAAACCCTATTATTTATTCGCCTCTAGAATTTCTTTTTTAAACGTGCTGAGACTCTATAAGGAAAGAGTAGCACTGCACTGAACTTTCTAGAATCTCAGTAACAAATAATGAAAGAGAATGTTATTTTTTGGTAGGCTGATTTTGTCCCCTTTTTACATTAAAGCTTTTGTTCGAAAAGATGCCTTGCCACTGGGAACCTTTTCCAAGTATACCTGGCATATCACTAATATCCTGCAAGTTAAACAAATCTTAGATACCCCTGAGGTAAGAGTCTATTTCTATAATAGTGGGAGGGAAGAGAGGGGAAGAGAAGGAAGCAAGTGTGGGAATTATATTTGCATCAGTTCTTTTAGTTATAGACACCGAAGAAAATGCTTTTTTTATACTAAGATTGTTCAGAAATATTCATGGCTTTATAGTGCTGCCTCCGATTTTAATGGGTATTCTCTCTAGTTTGAAAAAGTATTTTAGAGTATCCTTTTTCTTTGCTTTTGGGATCTGAAAGCAGGAATAATTTGTTGTAAGTAATGACCCCCTACTAGCTATTATTGTGAGCCCTAGATTAACCAGCAGGCAGCTAGAAAGTATATAAATAATTTGAGATGATATACTATTATTTGTGAAATCAGTGGGCCCAGCACAATTAAATGCTTCTCCCCAAACTGCAGTTTAGTTCTCATTAGAGTAATGATCCTTACTTAGTTTGTATTCTTTTTTGCAAGGGAAATATTAGATATTTTTAAACATTTTTTAAAGCAGATCCTGAAAATTTGAGAATATTTCCTTCTTTCAATATTGAAATATTATAGAAAATTCAGTATATGTGATTTGATGCATTAAGATTAGCTTAATTTCAAGGCATTGTTATGTTCAGAAAAAGGACAAATTGTTTGGTAGCCATAGAACTTATATATGAATCTTAGAAAAGGATTGTATTAGCACTAAAGACATTTGAGGAACTTCTTTAAATGCAGAATATCACACAGGTAGCTTCTAGCTTGAAACAAATGGTGTTTAGGGAGGCAATGAGCAACCCAAAGTAAAGTCCAGTGAGAGAAGAAAGCTAATAATCATTGAGCTTCTGTCTGTTACTTATATCACCTTATTCATGCAATGGTATTAACTGTATTTTGCAGATGAGAAACAGGCTATGAGAAGCTCACCCTGCTGTTTAGTGGCAAAGACAAAATTCAGTTCAAGTTCTGTCTGGCTCAGTCCCAAGGATGGTGTGAAGCACACAGGATGTGAGGTCAGCTGTAGGTGCTATCAATAGAGTTTTAAGGAGAAGAATGCTTCTAGCAAAGCAGTATGGGAAGGAATAAAACCAATTTTAGAGCAGGTTTGTGCCAGTAGCAGTCATGTAGCCATGAAGAACCCATGTTAGGGGTTCAGTTCAGTATGGTTTGGCTGGGATTCAAATTAAAGTTATAGAGAAAAATGGAAAGCCATGAATGTTGTAAGGGAGAAAAGGCAGATTTGTTGACAGAATTTACTTGAAAATACAAGGGGAAGTTTTAATTAATTTGAATGTACTTAATAAGGACTAATGAATATGTAAAAGATCTATTATTACCCAAGTGTTTGTCTACTTTGAAAATTTTTCCTTTCTCACCTTTCTTGGTATTGTCTCCATGTCCAGATGCCCTTGGAAATTACCCGTAGTTTTATTCAGAATCGGGATGGGACTTATGAGCTGTTTAAATGCCCTAAAGTGGAAGTAGAGAGCATAGCAGAAACCTATGGTCGTATAGAAAAGCAACCAGTGCTTCGACCCTTGGAACTAAAAACTTTTCTCAAAGTTGGTAAGTGATTGGTGGTTTCAATAGCGCATCTTCCTGTGTGATCAACCATGTGCAATACATTGTCCTAGACTTTGGATCTTGACCTTAAACAAAGAAGGCACATTTATTCATTTTGTAAAGGTAATCATGGGGATAAGGCATTTTGTTTCATTTGAGCCAATGCTCTAAAAATAAAATTATAGCAGTAACACATGTTTCTTATAGAAAAATCATAGATTTCATAAAGAAGAAAAATAAAAACCACCTGTAATCTCACTCACGATAGACCACATCACCATTAACATTTTGGTATATAAACTTTAAGACTCTTCTGTGAATGAAGAGTTTCTAAAACATGGGATTATCCTTCAGCTGCTTTTTTCACTTAATAATACATCATGAACAGCTTTCCATGCTATCTTCAACTTCATTTTTTAAACCTTTTTTATTGTTAAAAAACATACATAATATAAAATTTACCTTTTTAACCGTTTCTAAGTTCTCTGGCATTAAGCACATTCACATTGTTTTACAATCATTATCACCATCCATCTCTAAAACGTTTTCATCTTTCTCAACTGAAACTTTAGAATAGCCCATTAAACACCCCACCTCCTCCTAGTCCTCCTGCCAACCACCACTCTACTCTCTGTCTCTTTGAATTTGACTATTCAAGGTACCTCATGTAAGTAGAAGCATTATTTGTCCTTTTGTGACTGGCTTATTTCACTTAGCATAATGTCTCCAACATCCATATTGTTGCATGTGTCAAAATTTCTTTGCTTTTTAAGCCTGAATAACATTTAATTATATGTACATACCACTTTTTGTTTATCCATTCATCTGTCCATGGACACTTGGGTTGCTTCTGCCTTTGGCTATTGTGAATCTGACATTTTTAATAGCTACATAAAATTCATTAAAGTACCTCACTCTAATCAATCCTCTAAGTTGTTTCAGACTTTTTGCTGTTATAAACAGTGTTTCATTTCAGAATTAACTTCCTTATAGATAAAATTTTTATAGCCTTATTTCCTAATTTATTTAGGATATTCTTTGGGATAAATTCCTAAAATTGAAATTGGAGAGTCAAAAGTTTTGTTCATTTTTAAGGCTTTGATTGTTTTTGTCACACTGCTCTCCAGAAAGATTGTAATATTTATATAATTTACTCCTGTCAGCCATGTGTGAAAGAATTTCTTTTTTAATCTTTGTTGATTTGATAGGCAAAAAATGTTATATCACTTTTTAAATTTCTATTATCCTCAATATTGAGAGTAAACTTTTCATTTTAATCTTTCATATTTGATGAATTGCTTTTTCTTTGTCTACTTTTAATAAAATATTTTTACAGCATTATATTTTGTAAAATACATTATTTTATAGTGTTCTACAAATACTGACGTAGTCATGGAATAATTTAATAATAATAATAATGACAGCTATAACAATTAGCACTTAATGAGCACCTACTCTGTACCAGGTATTATCTTAAGTGATTTACAGTGCATTAATTCATTTAATGCTCATCAGCCCACCAAGAGTAGATTCTGTGATCCCTATTTACAGATGAATAAACTGAGTTAAACAGCTAGTAAGTGGTGGAGCTGCACTTCAATCCCAGACAATTTTGGACTCTAGAGCCTGCACTTTTAGCCTCTCTTTCCACTGAGGCTCTTTCAGGACAGTGAACTAGGACACTCTTGTTCATCACTGTACCCCAAGATAGCATAGTGCCTGGTCAAAAATAGTCACTCAGTAAAGACATGTTAAATGAAGAATGAATGAATGCTAGCCGTGATATTAATTTCTTTAGCTTTGTGATCTATCTAGCAGTCTTCCTTCATTTCTCTAGTTGTGTATTTATTCTTTTTAGAGAAATTCAGAATTTATAATTATTTCATCAAATTCTTGTGACTATATTCCTACACATGTTTTTTCCTGCTCTTATGAGTAGCAAGTTTATCATGTTTCTAACCCATTATTGCCCATGTATGGAAAGCTCTTGATTTAGTATACTTACTATCAAATTGGTCCCCTTAATGAACACCTAATAGTAATAATAGATGTTTCCCTACGTTTTCTGGGAAATTGGTTATATCACCTGAAAAATAATCATAATTTTGTTTTCTATCAAATGTTTATATATCATTTTTTTCTTGTTAAATTAGTCTTTCAAGAGCAACCAAAAATAATAGTAAAGCTAGCAGCCATGATTATCATTTTAGACTATAGAAAACTCCTCCAGTGTGTAGCATTTTCCAGGTTTGTCTGGAAGAAGAGATGGTGGTCAGTATTCTGTGAAAAAAGCATTCTATGGTCAAATAAGTTTGAGAAATGCTACATATCACATTTCTTTGATACCAAAACTCTTGATTGTAAGATGCTCAGGCAATTTAGTAATAACTTTTTTGGTAGGAAAGGAAACTTTGCTGTGTGAAAACTGTCCTGGTTTTAAGATACACTCAGATCCCAGAAAATGTTACAATTCGAGTAGGGAGGTAGTAGGGAGTAGTGTTTTAGAATATAATTTATCTCTTATAAATTCATTATATAAATTTGCATATTAAAAAGATCCTGAAATAAAAACATCTATTGAACTTTATGTTTTCCCAAACTTACTTGACCAGGGCAGACTTTTTAGGGGAATACCATTAGCATTTCACAGAATATTTTTCTGGGAAAAGCTGCTCTATATTTCACTATTAAATAGTAGGCTGTTGGTTATTGTTTACATATGAATTTTTTTATGGTTGTAACATCATATTTGGGATAGTTTATTAAGAATTTATTAAGCATTTTGATTAGGAATTAATATTAAATTTTAGGAATGCCTTTTTACCATCTTTTGATGTTTGTCTTTTGACCCACTTACAATGAATTGTATTAATAAATTTCTAATACTGACATAATCCTGTATTTCAGGAATAAATCCTACTTGATCTTTTTTCTTTTAATATGCATATAGATTCTATTTGTTAATGTTTTATTTAGGATTTTTGATTATTCATAGGGCTAGCTATCTACAGTTTCTTCTTTGGAGGCTATCTTTTGGGGGCTTGGTATTTATAGAAAATAATTTTGGAAAGCTTTGAATCAAATTAAATAACTTAGGAATCTATTTCATTAATGTTTCCAAGAATTTATTCTCTGGACCTAACCTCTTCTCACAGGTAATTCTCTAAAATATGTTAAGTTTCTTCTGATTTCCATTTGAATTCATGGTTTCTATCTTTTCATGAATCAATTTTGATGTTATTTTTCCAAAAATTCATCTATTTACATCCAAAATTTAAATTATTTTGTGAAAATTAATAAACAGAAATTTCATTTAAAATGAATTAGGGAGGCTAGAGAAAGAACTCTCAGGCAGGTGTCACTCAGTGCACAGTACTGACCCCAACACAAAGAGACTACCTTGTATCTCCCACAGGAAATGATACTACTTCGCTACCTCAGCAGGAGGAAGAAGATTCCTCCTTGCCCAATCAATAATAGCTAATGGGAGACTGCTATGACTTAGCCAATAAAAAGTCACTGGACTTTAAACTGTCAGTCTCCTCAAGTGGACTCTTACTGTACAACAGCCCCTTCCAAGTCCATAAAAGAGCATTCTTCTTTGTTTCTCTGGACTTGCTGTGGTTCACCGTTAGACCACCTGTCTCAAATTGTAGTTCTTTGTTATTCTCGAACAAACCCATTTTACTGGAGAAATATCTGGCTATTTGTTTAAGGTCAATAATGTACATTTTAATAATTTTTGGTATAGATGATAATCATATTACTTTTAAAATCTATTCTAAGTTTATAGTTATGCCCTCTACCAGAATTTTGTCTGTTTTATGGTCTTTATCAAAGAACTGACTCTTATATTTATCAATTGTTCTAAATTTGTTTTATTTTCTGCTTTTGTCTGTAATAATGTCCCCTATCTCTTTAAATCTAATATTTCCTTAGAATTATTTTATTTTTATAGCTTTTAAAGTGGCATAAGAACATTAAAGATTCTTGTTAATATTTAAATAGTCTATAATTATAGTTTAGTTTGTGTCTCTAATACTTTGTATTTAAGATTTTCAGTTGGTTGAGGCTTTTGATTTTTATATTCTTAGTTACCAATTTCTAATTTTATTATTTTGAGGTCAGAAGATGTTTTCAATATCTATTTTTTAGGAATTTAAAAATATTTTCTCACTAACCTAATATATGAATTTGTGCTAGCAAAGATGTTATTTATCTAATGTAAAGTCCTATATAGCTTTAAAATGAGTCATTATTTTATTATTTGTCTTCTTTATCTTCATTATCTCTTTGACCTGCCAAAGACTGGGTTGTGATATAATTTTCTACTATAATTATGCTTCTCTAAATGTCTTACGTTTCTTAAAAAAAAAAAAAAACAAGTCTTATATTTCTAAAAGTTTTTAAGTATTGTAATGCAGTGTTTTTGGCACATCAGAGTTATTGGCATATGTTGTATTGATCTTAAATAAACAGCCAGATATTTTTACTGCAAAATGAGTTTATTTGAAACAATAAAGCATTGCAGCTTGGGACATGTGGTGTAATGGGGAACCATGCACAAGTCCAGAGAGCAAAGAGAAGGAATTATTCTTTTGCAGAGGAAAGAGGAAGTTCAGAGGGGCTGTTGTAAACAATGAATCCACTGGAGGAAACTGGGAGTTCAAAGTGTAGTGGCTTTTCCTTGGATAAGTTTTAAAGTCTTTCATTGGCTGAGTGGTTGCCAAGCGAGGAGAAGATCCTTATTCCTGATGGAATAGCAAGGTAGAAGAAAAACATTTTCCTGATGGAGATGGAAAGTATGTCTTTTCTTGTCTGGGGTAATTGAGATGAGTGGTGGAGCTCCCCCAACAGGCCCCTCAACTCCATCCAATTTAAATAAAGTTTCTGTTCATTAATTTTTACATTGTCAGTGTAAGTTATATACTTGTCTTCGTCCATGCAGGCTGCTTTAACAGAATACCATAAACGGGATGGCTTATAAACACTATAAATTTATTTCTCCTAGTTCTGAAGGCTAGGAAGTACAAGATCAAGGCACTGGCTGATTCGATGTCTGGTGAGGGCCGGCTTCCTGGTTCATAGATGGCAATCTTTTCACATGTGTCCTCACATGACAGAAAGGGCGAAGTATCTCTCTAGGGTCTCTTTTTATAAGGGCACTCATCTCTTTTTTCAGGGCTCCACCCTCATGATCCAACTACCTCCAAAAGGCCCCACCTCCAATTGCCATTACATTGGGAATTAGGTTTTCAATTTATGAATTTTGGGTGTATACAGTCAGTCTGTATACCAAGACTTTATTAATGTAAAAGTAACTTTTGTCCTAAAAAAATCTTTGTCCAGTATTGCAACAGTGATACCAACTTTCTTTTGTTTTTCATTTTTTCTGATGTTTGCCATCCTTTTAACATTTTTTGTGACACTTTTATTTGAATCTCTTATCAACATTATATGGTTGGTTTTGATTTTTCTCCAATTTTAATAATTTATCCTCTTTATTATAATTGATGTAGTTGGTTATGTCTTCTTTTTGTATTCTGTTTTACTAAATGGACTTTGTTTTCTATGCTTAATTATCTCCATAGTTTTGAAGGTGATACCATATAGTCTAAAATTCTGCTAGTGTTTTATATTTCTCAATAGTGTTCTTTAACCTGAGTTTTTCATGTTTAAATCTTTGATCCTCTGAAATTTATTTTGAATGTATGGTACGAGGTAAGATTCTTCGACCATTTATTTCCTTCTAGGTAGTTATCTGGCTGATGCATACCATTTATTACAAGAAACATTATTTTACTAATTGAAAATGCTGCCTTTATCTTATGGTAAATTTTTATTCTATTTGTATCCATTTCAGATCTTTCTGTTTTGTTCTTTTAATCTGTCTAGACAGAAGCCAGTACCACACTCTTTTGGTTAAGAATTTGTAATATATTTTAGAACTACATTAATTTTCATTCTATTTATTTCTGGTTTCCCTGAAACTTGACTTTTTCTAGTCTCTCTTAATCTTATCCATCTGTCTTTTCTTCTCAGTCTGGGCTCTCCTTAGGATTCTTTTGGCCCTGTTTTCATAAAGTCCGGATCTTATTTTGTTTGAGGATGCCAGACAGCATCTTTGGGATAGATACAGCAGTGATAGCTTTTCCCTTCCCTTGGGTCTTCTCCTTGTTTCCTTGTTTTTCCTGGTTTTTTTTTTTTTTTAACTTTTTTCTTTTTTATTCCTGAACCGAGTAAGATCTGTCTAGACACAAATTTTGGAATTAATTATGCTAATCAGTGTTGCTTTTTTTTTTTTTTCTTGTCTTCAGGCAACACTTCTCCAGATCAAAAGGAACCAACACCTTTCATCATTGAGTGGATCCCAGACATCCTTCCCCAATCTAAGATTGGTGAGCTGAGGATCAAGTTTGAGTATGGTCACCACCGGAACGGACATGTGGCAGAGTACCAAGACCAGCGGCCCCCTCTGGACCAGTCCTTGGAATTGGCCCCTCTGACCACCATCACTTTCCCTTGAGGCAAAACAAAAGTCTTTTGCTGCTAAATTTGCACATTCCCACCCCTTGACAACTTTAAATACTAGTTAGGTACTTAGATGGCTCTGTTCCTTAGTGAACTGCTTTTAGCCAAGATGCAATTTCTCAACGCATTCAAGTGGATTCTGTTAAAGAAAAATTCTTCTTATAAATAGCCTTTTTGGTGCTGCTTTGTAGTCTTCATTATAAATGGGGTGGTATTTCTGGCTAGAGTTTTTAAAGGAACAAAAAGAAAACCAGCTAATTTTCCTTCTTAAAAGACTCACATTAGAGTGTTTCAACCTTCTTCTAATGCTCTAAGTTGTCAGCAGTACTCTGCCTTACACTAACAATGCTGGAAGGTTAATAATACTCCTGGTTAGGGCAGAATGTTAAGGACCGTCCTGGCAGAGTTCCAGTTATGCCCTTTTATTGTTATCAAATAAAGCACAGTGCCACTAGTTTTTCCCAATTATATCTCATGTTGGCCTGATTATAAAATTATAAACCTTTTGTGTGGATTTAGGTGATAGTGAAATAGGAAAAAGAAGTCCAGGTGTCAAGGGAATAATTATAAGTGAAACTAATGCTTATAATTGCTTATTCACTTGATATTTATTTTCTTCTTTATTCTCCAAAAAGTTTAACATCTGGTAAAATTCAGTTCCTACTTATGAGTTCGTTGACACAGAAGCGGAAGCCTGTTTTCAAGGAGGGAAGGGAATGAACATTTCCTATGTGCCAGGTACTTTTATTTACATACCTACTTATTCATTTTCCTCATTTAGTCCTCATTCTTTGACTTTAGGCATTACCCCTTCTTTTATAAAGTTAAAGAAACAGCCTATCTGAGGTTAAGCATCTTGCTGGAAACAGCATTAAAAATAATGTTTCATTTTACTCCAAAGTGCACTTTCTTTACACTTTATCACATTGCTTTGATATAAATTCTATATAATTCATTGACCTTGGGAAGACAAGAAAAATCCATATGAAGTAGTCTCTTAGTTTTCTTTTTATTGCAAGTAACAAAAACTCAACTCTCACCAGCTTAGGCAGGCATGGGAATAAATGACTGGTTCATGGATGCAAAATTGGGCTGGACAACCAACTTGGGTAGAGTAGGGTATAGTAATGGCAGGCTCCATCTGACCTATCTCTGCTTCTCCTGGTTCCTAACATGTCTGAAAGTATGGCTTTCACACTAGAACAGGACTAACTGCTCTACTCTCCCTGACCCAAAGGGCAAAAACTCCCAAGAAAGGAAATTGGCCTAATGTGTGTGTGGGGGAGGGGGATTGAGCATTTTTTTGTAAAGGGGGGAGCTGTGCCCCCAAAATTGGGGGATAGGTAGGCAAATTAACTGTTGTCTAGCATGTACAAATCAGGGGCTAGCTTGTGTGGAGAGCTCCCAAGTGCTTCAAACAGCAGCGGGTATCCTTGAGGAGAATCCAGGGAAGTCCATAGAGAACTCCGAACTTGCACTGGGCTTAAAGGAGAGAAGAGGTTCGGATCGGTATGGAGAAGAGAAATTAAAACTAGATGAGGCAGAAAGCCTGTCTGAAAAAGCAAGAACACTCAAGAAAACAGAGTGATTGGCCCATTCTGAGAAATCTTTCAACGTGATAACTTTGAGGACATTGGTCATAGCTTTTTGACCAAGACAAACCAGTGAGCGACAGGTAAATGCCTGGGTTTTGAAGTACTTGACTGACCCAGGAGAACCATGGGGGCCATAAAGTACATCGTGAGGCAAATGATCCACCCAAAGAGGTCCCTACTCAAGTGCTACGGTCTTCAGCCAAGACCACCCCAGCCCACCCTCAGCTGGTCAAAATCTGGAATGGAGTTCAAAGTTATATTGACTCTTTTCTAACCTGATACCCTCTCTACCAGGAGTACCAGTAGGACTTATGCATCTACTCCCAATGTCCAGACACGTCTGGAACACCATTAGCATTGACCTCATTTCAGACTCACCCCATACTCTACCCGAGTGGTGCTAGATGCTCCTACCAGAACATGGCTCTTCAACACCTGCACCCACCTGTGTACTCATCCATACATACATGTTTGTACTACCCATTTGCACACCTCTTCCATTAGTCACTGGAACCTCCCATTTTTATGGGCTGCCCAGCTGCTGCCTTTCCATGCTATAGCCACCATTTGTATTCTGGAATGAACAGCTCAAAAACCGGAAACTGATCATCCTCAGACTGAGTGTATTAACATGTCTGAGAGGGATGCTTCCTTAACTCCTCCAGGCAACATGGCTGGACCCCTAACATTGTGGACATCATCAGAACAATTAGCTACTTCACCCAGAACATTTTGGTTCTAACCTATCACATCCCTGCCTCTACCAGACTGCTGTCATCTCAACAGCTTGCTAGTATTTAGAGGAGTGATAGGCCACTCAGAGACCTCCAGAAAATCTGACTCCAGGAACCATCCACCTAAGCAAAGGTCTGTAGGCCTGCCACCTGGCCCTCTCAAGGTATCGGATGTCATCAGTCCTGTGGCTGTCTGGGCCCAGCATTTCCCAGTCAAATCCACCTCCTTTTTTCACTGATTTCTGTTATATCTGATCTGCCAATAACGTGCCTTTCCCATCAGCCCACATGTGCATACACATACATGTACACCACACTCCAGCCCCCCAGCCCTTACAGAGTATAGCCTGTGTATGTCATCCAAGAGGCAGTGTTCTGTCAGTGCCTGGTTTTCTCATGTCAGAGCCCAGAACTTGTCTTCCACTAGAACCCAGGGAAACGCCACTCTATATGTGCTGAAAGTGAGGGAATGGGTAGGAGCTGCCCTCCTCTAACCCTTTGAGGACCTTCTCAAGCATAAATCACAGCATAAAAGTCAGCCAAAGAGAACAGCCCTTGTGTTTATTTTTGTGTGTGTGAATTTTCCCAAAATGGACCTGCTTACCCGAGTAACCTCAACCTATTATTTTTTCCTTTTTCTTACCTCCCAGATATTGATTTCCTGGTTTTCTTCCTTTGCATCTTGTGGTATTTTCTGATACTCCTTATTTGATTTTCTTGTTAAACCTCACAGACCTTGCTCCCTGTCTGCCTGCCCTCCCATCATCTAGATCTGCGAGCTCCCTTCACCCCGCCTCACCAAGGAAGCGGGAAGATTTGTTTTACAACAGTGCTTTTAAGGTGCACAGGGATCTAGTTAGAATGCATATTCTGATTCAGAAATCACCCAGGGATCTAGTTAGAATGCATATTCTGATTCAGAAATTCTAAAATGGGGTCCAAGATTCTTGATTTGTATCATCAAGCTGAATGCAGAAAGTGCTGAACTGTAGAGCTGCTGCTGCTGAACTTTGGACTGCACTTTGAGTAGCAAAACCTCATAATGCCAGACCTGGTATTGTAACTTCCACCTTTCACTGCCACTGATGGGGGAGGGCAGTGCTGTAGGTCAGTGACATTCAGGATATAGTGGTCCCTGCATGTAGTTAGGGCACTAGCTAGCACATAGCTGGGTGTTTCAAGGCAGTGTGTATGAGCTGCTTTATAGCACACTCCCTTAAGTTGCTCCAACTGAGGGCTAGTTGCTCCACTAGCTTTGCTCCTTGGATTTAGTTCCAACTCGACGGTTCCAGAAGTAGAAAGTGGGTCTGTAATCATAGTCATTTCCTGTGGTTTTTCTGCCTTCTCCCAGCACTTTTTCCATTGTCCTCCCCACATCCACCATCTTAAGGTTCAGATTTTAAACCCGCATTCTGCCACCCGCTTATTAAAGCTTATTAACGGTGCAACCTTGGGCAAGTTATTTAACCCTCTGAGCCCATTTCCTCACCTTTATGATGTGCATAGTAAATAAGACACTGTGAAAAACGCTCATTAAATATTAGCCATACCCTTCTGCCTATTGTTTGCACTTTCTCTCCTACTGTTTTCCTAACTTATCCTTGGATGGTGCTTTATCCCTCCTTGAAAATTTTTGTACCTAATACCACTGTTAGACAGCAAGATCACAATTTTGTTAATGTAAGAGAGAAAGCTGTAAGTAAATATGAAAGGACGGGGTGCTGGTATTCATTTTCATCTATAATTAACCATATTACTTTGATTTTCTATAATTAACCATATTACTTTGATCAAAGTTTAAAGAAAGGCAAGATTACGACCACAAAAAAAAGGACATACAAATTAAGCGTCCATATTCCACTGAAAAAGATGCCGGGACGCTGCGGTGGAGGCTGGTCATGAGGCCGTCGCCCCTCGCCTCTGCGAGATGACGTTCTCTCGCGCGTCCTCCCATTTCCGGCCGGTTTGACTGCTTTTCCACCAGGCGGCGCCGCAGGACGTTCTGTTGCCGAGGCCTCCTGCGCAGCCGCACTGGCCCTTCAGACACGTCACCACCTTCGCGTCTTTTCTGGATAGCGCGCGAAAGCGAGTGCTGAAGGGCGGTGACGTCACCGGGGTTCCCCGCGTGCCTCGTGGGGGCGGGGCCAGGGACGTGGCGCGCGCGAGGAGGCTGGGGACAGAAATGAGGAGGGGGAGGGGTGGTGCCGAGCGCAGGGCCCGGTCGGGGCTGACCGGGCCGCGCCCACTCCGGCGCCTGCCTCGTGACCCACTATGGGGCTGAGCCAGGCCTCCAGGCCGAGCTGCGGGAAAGGTGCTGACGAGGCGGGTCTCGGCGGGGAGGGGCGCGGCGGCCGTGCCCTAGGCTCTCCTGAGGCGGTTAGCCCGCCGCTGTCCCCAGGTTTGCCCCAGGTGCCTCAGACCCACTTTTGGGCCGCGCACTGACTTCTGGTATCCTCGGCAGCCGCGCTCTCCTACAGCAGGGACCAAGTCTAGAACCCAACCCCCTGCTGGTCCGGCGTACGTGGGGCGGGGCCGCACCCCACCTCGAGCTCCAGACCGCGCGGCTCTGCAGCGTAGGAGTCGCTGCGCTCATCGGCCCAGGCCCCTCCCCGCCGCGGCTCACGTTGTCCTCCCCAGCCACCCTAGTTAGTATTGGCTAACCGTCACCCAGGCCCTTCGTGCCTCGTGGAGAAAGAGGTTGTGGAAGGAGACCCGGGTTTGACTCCTGGCCCGCCACTTACTGTTTTCCTTGAGCAAGTTATTGTGTTTTGGTGTTTGTTTTATCCTTTAAAATATAAATAGTACCATCCACTTCACGGACTTACTAGTCTGTACTTAGCACATGATAGGCGGTCCGTCAAAATATAAAAATTACTTTTCCACTTTTCCCCCTCCCGGTCTTTAGAGCCACTTTGCAAGGGCATTAATTCCTGGGTGGTTCTTAAAACAAAAGGCTTTGGTTCCGCATACTGGTTTTTAATAGCCATTTACCTTTTGTTAGTACGAGCTCCACAACCTGCCTAATGGCTTTGGAAGAAAAAGTGATAAAGGGCTCTCATCCACGACCTGATAAGTTGAACCTGGGACCTGATTAAGTTGAACCTGGGGCCTGCTCAGAATTTTCGGAAGGGTAGTTACTGGAATTTTTCTTGGGCCCTAGCACCTGTGAAACTACTTAACTAAGAGACCACAGAATTTCCTGCTGGGATCCCTGTCTAGTGCACACTCTGTCTTGGGGCACCTTTCAGCTGTCTTTATCGTCTTGCTGCCCTTTACCAGAATCTTTCTCTTCATATTACATTGCTATGGCCAAGTCATCTTTCCTGGGATGGCCTGAGCGCTGGGGACAAGCTACCCTCCAGTAGCTTAAATGAGATTGGTCTAACAGTAAACACTGCAAGACTGTCTCCTGGAAGGCAGAAAACTAATGTATCTTGAAGTGCCTATTTATCCTGTGTCAGGGACAGTATTAGGCTTTTTACTCAGGTAATCTCTTTTGATTCCCACACTGGTCCTGTGAGCTAGGTGGAATGATCATCTCTTTATATAGAGGAGGAAACTGGT